AGACAGACTAGGAAGAAAGGCTTGGCGATCTACTTCCGAAAATCAGCCAGTGAAAACCCTTGGAGGGCCCCTTGACAAGGGCACGTGGTACCGTGGTCTAATCCTCCTGTCCTCGGTTACCGAAGCCACTGGGACACCAGCCTCCAGGGTGCAGGCCAGCGGCGGGGATGGCCACCTCAGGGGAGGGGGCAGGTTGTCCATGCACACAGACAGTCCAGACATGTGGTGTCCACGCACTGGGTACCTTTGAGGCTGACACGACTTCCCAGTGCAGACTAGAGCTGGATCCTGAGCCAGCTTTGTGTGCTTTGTTCTCTGAGGTGTCCCCAGGACGGAGGACAGCGCCTGGCACACGGCGGGCACGTGATGACATTTACGGAGAAGTGGAGAAGCCACGCTTACTGAGGACCTACCTCCTGTGTGCACGCTGAGGCCACCCTGGCATTCAGACCCTCGTGAGAATTTCCTGACCTGGTAGTGGGCAGGACTGCACCCACTTATGTCACTGAGGCTGGGGACCCTGGGGAGGCCCAGAACCACCCGGCCCGGTCCCACCTGCAGTGGGCGAGGGGTGGACCTCGGCCTGGGCTGGCCCTGAAGCTGCCCTCCTCCCCCACAGCTCCCCACAGGTAAGTGGGGCACCTCACAAGGACAGAGATGCTCTCAGGCATGGGCATGGTGTGTGAGCAGGTGCCTCCCCCGCCACCCGGGCATCCCCAGGGAGCAGTTACTGCCCACCATGGCTGCGCTGTACTGGGGGCCTGGGCTCAAATTGCACAGACACAGTCCCATCGATATGCTGCTGCATGAAAGAAGGCCTTTTCTGGGGTCACAGCCACATTTTACATTGTCGTGACCTTGTTTACAGACTCAGGGAGCTGAGGTCCCAGTGAAGCATGCACCCCTGGGGGAGGGCCAGGCACTGGTGCTCCTTCTAGGAGTGTGGCAGGGGCTGGCCTGAGCCCTCAGCACTGGGCCTGGCCCCCCAGACCTACTCGACAACTGCTTGTCGAAGGAATAAAGGAAGAAGTAAACAAAAAGAAAATATTTACTCATATTCCTGCTTCTGTAAAGGTAGGGTGAGTATTCAGATCAACGCTATTGAAAACAATAAAAAATAGCGGCTAAAACAATTAATGGCCCTAAAGGA